TTTTCTTGTATGTATTTGACTTTGTAATGAAACATTTTAATTCCCTTTTCATTTCCTTTTGAGTACATTTTATAACTTTTCTTTGTGGTTACCGTAGGGATTACATTTAACATGCTAAAGTTATAACACTCTCATTTGAATTTATGCCAACTTAACTTCAATAACATGCAAAGAATCTGCTCATTTACAGCTCTATCCCCATCCCTTTCAGTTATTGATGTCAGAAAATTACATCTTTGTATATTGTGTGTTGAAAAACATGAATTAATAATTGCTTTTTAAAATGTATTAGTCTCTTAAATTATGTAGAAACCAAAATGTGGAATTAGAAACCAAAGTTACAATAATACTAGCTTTTAGACTAATAATAATTTTTTAAAACATATTAGTCTCTTAAATCATGTAGAAAATAAAGAGTTTCAAACCATTGTTACAATAATACTGGCTTCTATAGTTGCCCATGTATTTACCTTTACAAGATCTTTATCTCTTCATATGGCTTTGAGTTACTTTCTAGTATCTTTTCATTTCACCCTGCAGGACTCCCTTTAGGATTTCTCACAGGGCAGTTCAAGTGGTAACAAACTCCCTCGGCTTCTGTTTATCTGTGAATGTCTTAATTTCTTCCTCTCTCTCTCTTTTTCTTTTTTTGGTGAGAAAGATTGGCCCTGAGCTAACATCTGTTGCCAATCTTCCTCTTTTTTATGTGTGGGATGCCACCATAGCATGGCTTGGTGAGCAGTGTCTAGGTCCACGCCCGGGAACCGAACCTGCAAACCCCAGGCCGCTGAAGCGGAACATGCAAACTCAACCACTATGCCACTGCACCAGTCCCCTCTTCCTCTCTCTTGAAAGGACAGTTTTGCCAGATACAGGATTCTTGGTTGACAATTTTTTGTCTTCTAGCATTTTGAATATATTAGCCTTTTAGCCTTCTAGCCTCCAAAGTTGCTGATGAGAAATCTTCTGATAATCTTATTGAGGACCCCCTGTATATGATGAGTCACTTCTCTCTTGCTGCATTCAAGATGATTTCTTTGCCTTTGGTTTTCAATGGTTTGATTACAATGTGTCTCAGGTGGGTCTCTTTGAATTCATCCTTCTTGCAGTTCACTGAGCTTCTTGGATGTTTATACTCATGTCTTTAATCAAATAGTCATTTTCTTTTGTTTTTGACAGTGACTATGATTGTGTACCATTCCTTGTTCTGTCATCCATATATCCACCTGAAGGAGCCTGCTCTGGGAAGCAGGCACCAAGACGAACTTAGAATTGCAAGAGAGTTATTGAGGGTGATACCTGAGAAGCATAAAAGGAAGGAGCAGACATGGGCAGACAGAGCCTTCAGATTGTGATGCAGGTCTGACATCTGTTAAAGGAGAGAGGGGAGGAAGGAAGATTGGTTAGGAAGAGCCTCGGACTGTAGTGCGGCTCTGAGAAGTCTCACCCAGCCCAGCAGGGGGCTTGGGCACAATGATAACCTGTACAGGAATTCCACGTTAACCAGAAATGGCCAGGCCTTGATCCCCACCATACTCAGTTGTTCACTGGAGGCTGCCTGGGGAGAGTGTGTCAAGTTCTTTCTTGAAGGGAGACATGACACCTCGTTGCCCTTTGTATCACAGAATTCTTGACAATAGAGAAGATCTTGGAGAATAACTGGTTAATCTACCTCCCTCTTTGATAGATATTATCTATGACATTCCAGATAAATAAACATCTTATTTTAAAAGGTCTTCAGTAAAGATCATACAGTTCCCTAATGTTTAATATTAAGTGTCAGAAATTTTTTCTGTGTCTAATCTCAATCCTCTAGGCTGTGGTATAAACCAGTTTTCTTTTCCTTGTCATCAAGACTTGAAATATGTGTGGATTTCTGAAATAATAAAGCTTTATACTGACTCTCAATGATCCTTTCACTTACTTCATCCCACATAGAGCCAGCAGGAATGGACTGATGAGGAACGTTGTAAGTAAATGTTTCTTCTCTTTAAAGCTGTTTACAAGTAGCAATCTTTAAAACTAGAAAAGGTACTCAGTGAATAAGTAATCAGTTATAGTTAAATGACCTTTTAAAGTTATTTCCTGAGGAAAGAGGACAAAACTAAATAGATTTTTGCCTTCAGAGTTCTCTCTTATCTTTCACACAGAAAAAACCTCAAGTTTCCTTGATTGTATTTAGCAGCTGGGCGATGGTGATATCACTAAATTAGGTATTAATTAAGTATTCACTAAAGGATGATTCTCAGCAGAGGAGTTAAGTGAAATGATTGGTGTAATCAGTAGGTAAGGAGTACAGTCCTTGCCCATGAGCTTGTTTCCAGATCTTGACCTAGTGCCATTCTTTCCTTGGCATGGATCTTCAGCTTTTAGAAGGGAACTCGAGTGCCTAAGGCAGTCATTCCTGATCTCTGACTACTTTATCTTCTGTTTCCTATGAAAACGAAGTAAAAGGATGGGAACTAAGATTTCAGTGCCCATAATGTTGTACTGACTGTGCTAGGTGTTTAAGTAACTCATTTAATGTTAACAGAAGGTAGAGGAGGTAGGTATTGTTCACTGTGATTTACAGATGAGGAAACCAAGGTCACAAATTCATAAATGTGGAAGTGAAGATTTCAAATTTCAAGTGACTACAAAACCCATGTTCTTGCTACTGTGATTTTCAGACCGTGTTTCATGGATCCTGCTGTTCCACAGATGCAAATCTCTAGATCTTCTACCTCCACGTAAACCGGAGAAGCCTCCATTTCTGGGCACTCTGTAGACAGTTTCCTCATAAGAATTCTTTTGAAAATAAAAGAGAGAGGAGAGTCCTGTGCCTTGAATAGGACAAATAATTTAGAAAACCACTCCCTTAAATCAAGCAGGCTCCTCAAGATATGACTGTATTCCTTACCCATTTCTATGTGCAGACAGATTTACCACTAGACAGACCATCTTAGTGCTGCTAGTCTGCATGTTCTCAGAGAAAATGCTTAAAATAGAAGAAGTGTTAGGTATCTGGCAGGAATAATAATAGCCATGATATAGTGAGCGTCCATCGCGTGCCGTGATTTGTTGTAGTGTTTTACAAACATAATCGTGTGTGATCCCTAGTACAGCCTCCCCAAGGTAAGTAGGACTATTCCCATTTCCTATTTGCAAGAACTTAAAGGAATTTGACCAAAGTAAGAGGCAGAGCCAGGAGTTGATCCAGGTTTGTCTGCCCTAGAGCTCATTTTCTACATAACACCAACTCTTGTGAGGATTATAAGGATTTATATAGGGGATTTATTATAACTCATGGAGGTTACAGCATGCCCAGCTCTGAACACATGAACTGTCTCTACCTGGAGGTGATGACTAGGCAGTGTTTTATTCTCTACTATGCCTGCATCCGCCATCTCATTCGACTATACCTGTGAGAGGGCACTGTGCAATGCAAGACATAGAGGGGATAGCAGTAAAACTTGTCATTCTGTGGCTGGGAGGTACAGTTTGGTTCAGAGTGTTAGGTGATCCCCACCTTTCAGATAGTAGAACGTTGAAAGTGGAAAATTCTGAGCTGTTACACCGTTCTCCAGAGTCGTTGGTGGCTCCCTGGTGCCCGTGAGGCATTTCCCTAGCAGGTCCGTTAGTCCTCTCTGTTTACTGCTGGCTGACGCATGAGGTAGGCTCCCTTCAGCTGCCCAGAGGTCTCCATATCCCATTGCTCATTTCTCTCATTATTTTCTGCCCCTTTCCTGTCTTTTTCTGCTTTAAACTTTGGTCGTCAGTCTCATAAAGTACATAAATTGCCAAAATGCATAACTATATTTGGTATGCCACAAATTATGGTAAATTTCAAATATATATTCTTCTGAAAAGCTATCTTTTAAAAGTTATAGCATTAAAATACATGACATTCTTCTACTAAGGAGACACGAAGGAGATGAGGGGAGTTTCAATTTCAAGAGTTGAAATGTTTCCTGTACTTTGTACTGAGGCATCTCATGTGGTGTAAGGGTGGGGCTAAGATGACTCTTGCCTTGAGTGCTGAATGTGTCAGCATGTCATGTGTGGATGTGCGAGAATGATTGCCAGTGCAGATGGTGGCTGATGAAAAGAGAGAAGCTGCTCTGGAGAAAAAATATATCCTTCTCTGTATCCTCGTACATGACTGCTAAGAAGGCAACGTGATTCTTAACTTGGTCTTTTGTCCGTACCACTGCCCAGGAGGATTTGTAAAAGTTACACTTGGGTTTTAGCATCCATTTTTCCAGTAGCGTTCCCCATTCTTTCCAACTCATCAGTTTGGGATTGCTATTCCTGTTTTGTTAACATTAAACATGAGAAAGGTAAATTACTGATAATCAACTTTACTAAACAAATGAATGAATTTTTTTAAAAATCTGTATGTTAAATTAATACATATCTGGCAGTAAGTTATAAATCTAGAAATACAAGCAAAGCTCCAGAATACTTTCCCCAAGATTCAATTAGACAAAACTGTTTGATGAATCAACCCTTTCCTTTCTTTAGCCTAAGTAAATGAGCATTTTTTTCTCTGAATTAAACTAAAAACTTAATTGAAATTTCTGTTGAAACCTAATTCTTAATAAAAGTAATATTAATGTTGCTGTCTTCTGTTTCCAAATTACATCTCAATACTCATAAACTTCCTTTATATATAATTTTGTTATTGGGCCAATCAACAATAAAAAGATACGTTTGAAAAGTTTTTAAAAAAAGGTAAATTATCAGCTTGATTAATTCAGAACAATCAGGATTCTCTAGTATGTTTTTCTAATACTTGTTCCCTTTGGTTCAGCTGCCAAACTGCAGCAAGGGCTCAAATGCATAAGAAAGCAGCTCTCCAAAGGATCGAAGACCAGATAAGAGGGGAAACTTGTTGGTAGGGGGAGATTTCTGTTGTGGAGCCTCTGGGAAAGACACTTAAGAAATGTAGCTTGTCTTTTCAGTATTTTTTAAAAATAACCACATGTATGTATTTTAACTGGTGATTTATTTGGATTAAGATTTCCATTTTAGAGTCTGAATTATCAGTAATATAGGAAGACAGAAGAGAAACCAGTATGAAAGGTCAAGAGACAGTGAAAGTACAAGATCTGAATGAGGTAAGAAATAAAAAGATATTCTCAGGGGCCGGCCCAGTGGCGTAGCAGTTAAGTTCGCACGCTCTGCTTCAGTGGCCCAGGGTTTGCAGGTTCGGATCCTGGGCGCGCACTGACGTACTGCTCGTCAGGCCGTGCTGTGGTGGCATCCCATATCAAGTAGAGGAAGATGGGCACGGATGTTAGCCCAGGGCCAATCTTCCTCAGCAAAAAGAAGAGGATTGGCAATGGATGTTATCTTAGGGCTAATCTTCCTCACACACAAACAAAAAAAGATATTTTCAGTTACATTTTCTAATACAGGTGAGGCAAACTCCATAAGGATGTTTAAGAATTACTGGAAATAGGCAAAAGGAGAAAATACACTCCCAGGAAGCTTAAATCTACATCCTATGATTGTGATCAGTGGTTACAGAAAGCCTTCCAGGAGTAGTCAGTCAGGAAGGAGCCCACTAAAAATGTCTTTAGGATAAACTAGTGTGTTGAAATTGTAAGGATGATTTAAAGGTATTTTCTGGCTAAAGAATAAATGTGAAAATTCAGAACAATCCAATAATATAAACAACCATTTAGAGATACTTTCTATACTCAAGGTGCCCATATATGCCTAGGCATCATTATCCCTATTTTTCAGATAAGGAAATTGAGGCTAATAAAAGTTACATAACTGGCTCAGAGTCCCACTGTTGGTAAATAGTAGGACAGGACTGGTAGGACTCTTTTCCGACGCATCATTCTGTGGTTCCCAGGTTACAGAGTATAGACGTATCAATTTCCTGCTGTTCCCTGAATGGCCGATCCAAATATGCATTTAGTTCACTTGACAGGTTAGCTCTGCCAATGGAGAAGGGTCTGCAGCTTGATGGCAGTATTAAGGAGATTGACTCGCTTCTCACTCTGTATTGACTAAGCTGCATTTTGACCTCAATTTAATTTCCTAATAGGTTTTTGTACACAAGACCAAATACCCTTTGGCAAGTCTGAATAGAGTAGACATTAAAATAAGGCCTAGATGACTCCTCTGGTGAATTTATTAAAATAAGGGCTAGATGGCTTCGCTGGTGAATTCTACCAAACATTCAAAGAAGAATTGATACCAATCCTTCTCAAAGTCTTCCAAAAAATAGAAGAAGGAACACTTCCAAACTCATTTTATGAGGCCAGCATTACCCTGTTACCAAAACCAGACAAGACACCAGAAGAAAATTACAGACCAATATCCCTAATAAACATAGATGCAAAAATCCTCAACAAAAAATATTAGCAAACCTAATTCAACAATGCATTAAAAAGGATCATACACCATAATCAAGTGAATTTATTCCAGAGATGCAAGAATGCTTCACCATCCTCTAATCGATCAATGTGATACACTACATTAGTCAAATGAAGGACAAAAATCGTGTGATCATCTCAATAGATGCAGAAAAAGCATTTGACAAAATTTAACATCTATTTATCCATTAAAAACTCACAACAATAGGGGCCGGCCCAGTGGTGCAAGTGGTTAAGTGCGCACGCTCCGCTGTGGTGGCCCGGGGTTCGCCGATTCGGATCCCGGGCGTGCACCGATGCACCACTTGTCAGGCCATGCTGTGGCAGGCGTCTCATATAAAGTGGAGGAAGATGGGCATGGATGTTAGTCCAGGGCCAGTCTTCCTCAGCAAAAAGAGAAAGATTGGCAGATGTTAGCTCAGGGCTGATCTTCCTCAAAAAAAAAAACAAAACTCTCAACAATAAAGGCCATGTATACAAGCCCACAGCTAACATCATACTCAATGGTGAAAAGCTGAAAGCTTTTCCTCTAAGATCAGGAACAAGACAAGGATGCCCCCTTGCCACTTTTATTCAACATAATATTGGAAGTCCTAGATGAGCAATTAGGCAAGAAAAAGAAATAAAAGACATCCAAGTTGGAAAGGAAGAAGTAAAACTGTCACTATTTGCAGATAACACAATATTTTACATAGAAAACCCTAAAGACTCCACCAAAAAACTGTTAGAACTAATAAATTCAGTAAAGTTGCAGGAAACAAAATCAATATACAAAAACCTATTGCATTTCTATACACTAATAACCAACTATCAGAAAGAGAAATTAAGAAAGCAATCCCATTTACAATTGAATCAAAAAGAATAAAATCCTAGGAATAAATGTAACCAAGGAAGTGAAAGAGCTGTACACTGAAAACTATGACATTAATGAAAGAAATTGAAGAAGACACAAATAAATGGAAAGATATTCCGTGCTCATGGATTGGAAGAATTAATACTGCTAAAATGTCCACACTACCCAAAGCAATCTACAGATTCAACGCAGTCCCTATCAAAATTCCAATGGCACTTTTCACAGAAATAGAGCAAACCATCCTAAAATTTGTATGGAACTACAAAAGACCTGAATAGCCAAAGCAATCTTGAGAAAGAAGAAAGCTGGAGGCATCATACTTCCTGATTTCAAACTATATTACAAAGCTATAGTAATCAAAACAGTATGGTATGGGCATAAAACAGACACAGAACAATGGAACAGAATAGAGAGCCCAGAAATAAACCCACACATATATGGTCAATTAATTTATGACAAATGAACCAAAAATATACAAGGGGGAAAGGACAGTCTCTTCAGTAAATGGTGTTGGGAAAACTAGACAGCCACATGCAAAAGAATAAAACTCAACCACTATCTTACAAGATACAAAAAAATCAACTGAAAATGGGTTAAAGACTTGAATGTAAGACCTGAAATCATAAAACCCCTAGAAGAAAACATAGGCAGTAAGCTCCTTGATGTCTGTCTTGTTGATGATATTTTTGGATCTGACATCAAGAATAAACTAGTGAGGGGCCGGCCCTGTGGCTTGGTGGTTAAGTGCACGCGCTGCAATGCTGGTGGCCCGGGTTCGGATCCCGGGTGCGCATCGAGGCACCACTTCTCCGTCCATCCTGGGGCCAAGTCCCAC